TCCTTGGACTAAATTTTCAATTTTTCTTTTTCTGTTATTTGGTTCAGAGGACGAAAACAATTGGTGCATGTAATAGATCTGGACAAGAGATATCACTTGCAGTCTGGTCAAACCATTTCAGTCTACTCATGTTAACTTCTAGTTTGAAGTCTTTGTCTAATTATATAGAATAGTATATACTGTGTTCTCTATAGGCTGAAAGAACCCGTGAAGGTCCGGGTTAGAATGTGCCTTCAGTAACCCATGCTTGTCGTAAGAGGCGACTTAACGGGATCGGGTGGTCAGGCTTGCTGACTTGGTTGACATATGTCATCGGTTCCCAATTGCGCAGATTGATGCTCATGCTGTTGATCACTTGGTTGTCTGGTCCAGACTCGATTATTTGCAGACCACTGCTATATAGCTGGAATATTGTTGAGTGAGTGCGGCTTAAAATTGAACTCACTCACTCACTATAGGCTGAAAGAAACTTGACTAGACAGGAGTTTGGATCTGGTGGACAAGTGACAGTGCTTTTAGCTCGTCTATAGTAATGTGGTTATTGTCATCCCCTGCAGCTGGGACTAGTAGTGTAGCCTGAAATATTCCACAGGTTATCCAAACCTACCCGTCTTCAATGTGAGCTGGTGGTTGGCTGCTGTAAGATTAGCGGGTGTCTATTGTAGGACGGCTGGCTGGGGTATATTGGGCCACATTGTTGGGAGTTGCCAGACACAATGAGCCGTGCTCCATAATGAAGGAGGGAGTGACGTCAAGGGCACTGTGTCCATGTTGTCTGTAGTGACACACGGGACACCCTAAACATTCTGACGATCTTCCTTTGTATTGGACATGAAGCATTTATTGGAGGGAGTTTACATGCTCTGGTTTATCTTTGGTGTTATATAAACATCTTTATTGTGATAAGCTATTGATGTTCTGTCAAGTGTGAAGCATGATAGACTGTCAGTGACATTATATAGATGTTTCAAGACTGGTGGCTGGAATGACATGTATGTTAGAAGGTGACTTGTGATTGATCATGGCTGTAGCAATGGAGGTGTAGCCATGGTGTCACTTTCTTTTGTTGTTTAATCCATTCAACACCGTAGGCCGGAAAACCGGTCAAGACATCATGAGTCCCCAGACACCGTAGACCTGTAAACCGGCCAGGCAGTAGTCGCATCAAAATTATCTATAATTTTAGGAACCTAACTAACATATGATTCTTTTATCAAATCTATCACTTTTCATAGTGTCTGAAAACACTCATTAAATTTCAAATGACCATATATTATCGACAGGATTAGAATTATAAACTATTTTTCGCAATGTGATTGAAAAAATAATTTCTCAGACACATGCTTCGGCAAGGGTCCACAGCAAAGTTGTCAAAGAGCAAAGTAACAATGTTTCGAGAAAAAAATTGAATAAACTGAAGAATAAAATCCTCAACAGTATTCATAAAAGTTGTCAAACGTACATTATTACTTTCTATTTCCATCTTTTTGAGCGATCGTGTAATGTAATTCATGTGACATCTCGGCTTTCGTCGCCTCGAACTTCATGCTCGGACACGATGTTTAATGCTAAAATATATGCATTTTTTTCACAGGTCATAACCTAGCACTATACGTTGACTAAGTTCCATAATATGCTGAGGTGATTTATTGCGTAACACGTTCAGAATGGCGTGATTTTACCCAAAACTTTCGTTTGAATCATTAGTTTTCGTTTATGAGGACGGTATCCATTGCTGTAATATGATTGGCTGCCTTAGGTCACGTGTCTGATTTTGACCAATCACGACCCTTATAGCAGACTGTGGCAAAAGAGCGTCATTAGAAACCAATTTTTATCCAATAAAATCGCTTCTTACAACTGTGAAAATTCTCTTGGCAAGGGTACAGTGAAATTGGTGATGTTCAGAGCTTTCGAACGATACCCGCAATCAAACGAATCGCCTCACATGTTATTCATACGAAGCTTCGAAAAACTAGGTATTTCACGCTGTTGCATCACGTTACCGAGCGGAAAGTCACTGATATCGGGAAATAGACGACCATACATATTATTTGAGAAATCTTTTTTAAAATAATTTTCCGATTATGTAAAAATGAAAATATAGCAGAAAAAGGTAAGGGGATATTATGACATATTACAAATGGAATAAATTGTCGCAATTTTTGCTCCCTTCGTGGTTTATCCAGACATTGTAAATTTTTGAGCTTGCATTTTCATTAAAAGTTAAATTAATTACTTTGTAGTTGGATTATTTGAATAATATGATCAAAAATAAATTTCATATTTATAAACAGTAGGATTAGACCTTTCAAATGGTGTATGATATGTAGAAGCAATAATCTTTTACAAGCTGATATTTTCCTTGATAAACATAGGCTTCATCTTCTCAGAGTCTCTGGGAACTCTGTGTCATGGCAGTAAAAGCGTCTGGTTGACTGGTGTTGAAAGAGTTAATGACTGGTCACTTCCAAAATATAGATGGGTTCTGGCATCCTTGAAATGTTGTGTAAAAGTTTTAAGTTATTACTGTTTGCTGTGGACAAGGACAATATCCTATTTGTCTAGCGAAATATGATGCATCTGTCATCAAGTGAGGTGAAAAACGGTAAATATTTGTAAGTGGCATAGCTATGAGATACATCATATTTCACTGGACACATGAAATGTCCTCTTCTCATTTCATAGACAAAATATTTTCATGACTTCAAACACTTCTACTGGATACTAAATTAAAACCCATTAAGTGTCAACTGGCTGCTGGAAGTGAAAAATGGCACATTATGAACACAGGTGATATAGCATCTAAAGAGAAAATACATATTTGAATTCAAGAGAGGGTTTCAAATGTTTTCTCCTGTCGTAAGTTAGGATTTAAGGTATTTTAAGCTACTGGCTTTTAAAAAAAACAGCTTTAACTTGCAAAGCATATTTTGTAATGATGTAGGATTTAGTGCTGTCAAAACAGTAGGAGGCAGATAAGTCTGTCATCTTGTCATTTGATATCCTTACAGATTTATTAGGGTGTGTACAACTTGCATGTCATCCAATTTGCCCTATCTTTGGAGCATGTCACAAGTCCCTAATGATAAAACATCTTTAAACCCTGTGATTACATGCAGTATGTTAAAGACTGGGTTACCTCCCCTGCACCACATCAGTGAGTGGGGATCCAGGGCATGAATGTTGTAAGTTACGTGAACAGTCATAACAAGATAACATTGATCAGGCTAGTTAATAAACAGATTTATCATGTTGATTACGAGTCGCAAATAGAACCTTGTCATTTATCTATTTGTATAATTTCTGTTTGTGTAACACAGTTACATCACTGTGATGGACATTCCCAATCAGGGATTTTGCAGTTTTATACCAGAAGATTAAACCTACAGACTGAGATTATTGTTCACAATGTGGACCTTGTTGTGTGACAGTGGATGATAGGTTTACTGGCCTGGCCTGTTAGATAGTGCTGGATATTGTTTCAGTCAATCGGATGAAAAAAAGACAAACACAACAAGAATTGGAATGAAAATGAATTGAAGTGTAGTAATAGATCACATGGTTAGAGATTCACATATAGTACCGATGACATGGTTAAAATCTTGGTAAAAATAAATCTTTGTTCTTTAAGGGCATGCTTAGAATGCAAGTTTTTTAACAATACCTTTTGACCATGTTTATTTATGGGAACTAATGTAAACCTGTGTTATAAAGCAGATCATTAAACATAAGAATGGAAACATGATGAATATAAATAATTGGGACACGAAGGGTTCGACACTCATGCTTGTCCGCTTGCCCGTGGCAAGTACTAATTAATCAGGGCAAGTAAAATTGCTGAAAGGCTTGCCCGAGTGGCAAGTACATATTTTTTCAACTTCTAACCTCAATTCATTCATTAAAACTCTTCACTTGCTGTGTTTTGTTTGTCTAGTTCTTTCTATGCCATAAGTAACATGGGGCAAGTAGTATCTATGATGGGCAAGTAGTTTAACTTTTCGACTTGCCCACTTGGCAAGTGGGAGAAATCAGTGATTGTCAAACCCTGGACACGGAAAGAGGGAAATGATGCACCAGGAGTTTTACATAGATTTTGAATATTTGAATCATGATAGATTCACAGTAAATATTTTGTCTAATTTTGTGAGTCATAAAAATATTTTGTCTATGAAATGAGAAGAGGACATTTTATGTGTCCAGTGAAATATGATGTATCTCATGGCAATGCCACTTACAAAAAAATTATCGTTTTTCACCCCACTTGATGACAGATGCATCATATTTCGCTAGACAAATAGGATATTGTATTTTTAAAATCAAATTAATCAATTTAAACAATATTATATATATTTATTATTTGTATTCACAGTTCACTTGTTGGAAAAAATATTGCATCAGCTTGGACTCGTAAGAAATACTTTAAGAGTATTCTACAAAATTATTGAGTGAAATATGCATGAATGCATTGTAAAACCCTGTGAACATATGTTCATATTTTATATCTCAAACATCGTTATCGGTGCCCTGTGGCCAGCTTGAAAAACAATGCCTCCACTGGATCACAGAGGTATGTAAATGAAACATATTTGATAAATTCCCTGATGGTGACTTTTACAATGGTAAGCAGGTCTAATAATCTTGAGATTTGTAGTATTTGAATATAAGGCCACCACAAAGGTTTATTTTGTAACATTAGTTTTAGGAACAGGACGCTTGACTCTAAACTTATTTTCAAAAATGTGGTGCAGTTCTGTTGGGTATTAAATCAAAGATGTATCCCTGATCTTAGTGCTTGTTAAACCAACTCCATACATATGCTGTGGGTTTAAGTAAAGATGGAACGATCGTTTCAGGCTTGTAGTTCACCTTCAGCTGACGCGTGGGTGCAGTATATTGTTCATTTTGGTGTATGACCCATCAAACCTTCATGGAGCTGTTGCCTAAAGTGGCTAAAGAGACCAGAGTGCCTTTAAGTGATGGTGATGTCTTTGTTGCAGGCTTTCATGAGTGATGACCCGCCTCCAAAGCCTAGGAACACCTGGATGAATGACAACGAAGCAGGTCACGATGCTCGCAGAGTGCCAAAGAGAAGATCAACGGTCATGGGAATCAATGCTGCTGAAGAAGCTCCAGAACATGGTAGGACTTCAGAATTACATGCTCTTTGTCCTTTGATGAAGCACAGGTATTTGTAAATCTGTGTTTTAGCTGGCTGTGTCATTCTGTTCATAGTGAATTTCACCATTAGACTTACAGAAAATGTTGTTCAAGGAATTGAGAAGAAAAATTAATTGACCTATTTGTGAAAATGGTATGAAGTCTACAAAGTACACCTCTGTTGTGAGCAATAGAATAATGGTATGTTTTAAGTAAAATATATGATCTATAAGTTACTGTGTTCCATTGAATTGTAGAACTGTTTCATAAGTATCATAAGTTTCATAAGTGCTCAGACTGGTGTCTTTACACTGCACAGGTCACCATTACAGACTGTTAACTTTACAATGCACAGGTCACTATTACAGACTGTTGACTTTACAATGCACAGGTCACTATTACAGACTGTTGACTTTACAATGCACAGGTCACTATTACAGACTGTTGACTTTACAATGCACATGTCACTATTACAAACTGATTATTCTTCTTCATAGAGATCGTCCTTGTGGTACATATTATGCATTTTCCAAGCTGAAAATGTCCTGTGACAGTTGTATCAATGTTTTTGAATAAAAAGATTGTACAATAAATAAACTCTTTATTTATTATACGGCCCCCACCTACGGAGTTACCTCCCGTTGAGCATGCGCACCAACTGGGTAAGCTCCTAGGCCCGTATCATCATTCCTTCTGCTGTCACTGCCGTGAACAGACCGCATGTGTCGAGCAGTGCTGACTTTATCAGAGATAAAGAATATCATGTCTGAGACAACACCACCTGTATGTATGGTCTTTATTTGCCTAATGAAAGGAACAGTAAAGCTTTGCAGTTGGTTGTTTCATAATTGTGACTTTGTATTAATTATTTTACGCTAACTTTCCCGTGGTTTACGCACACGTTGCTCTGCCATGGCGGGAAGTTTAGCGTGCCATGTGGTCGTAATATTGCGTATTGTACCAACTCTTACTTCCCGTGGTAGCCTTCACGTTTTTTTCAATGTTTTCTACGTGTATATATGTTGCTGGTACGCTGTTAGCTACATGCTTGCGTGTTTGCTTTCAGGCCTTTTCCTCCTGTTCGGTCTGTGGACAAAGTATTCCACGGGCCGACAGGCACGACAAATGTATTGTCTGCCTCGAGAAGACCGGCCATGAGGCCGAATTGTGTGAAATCTGTCTTGGGTTTTCCCCCCGTGCCCAAAAGAGGAGGGCAGATGACACTCTCTTTTATAGGGAGATGCGGGAGGCGGGAGGGGAACTTACCCAGGTCCCCCCGTCTAAGGCAAAAAAGCTGCGGTCTAGCAAGGGAAAAAAATCCCGCAGCCAATCCCCCTCTCCCTCTACTAGTAGTGGGTTTGATATGACCTTAATGACACAATTATTTCAGCAACATATGGACTCGGTGAGGTCCCTCGTCCATGAGTCTGTTGGAGGGCTCCGGCAGGAGTTCCTCGCTCACTCTGGACGGGGGGCGGAGAGTCAGGGGGTGGGATCGCCGGGCTCGGCTCGATCCCTCAGCCTTGAGGCGTCTGTCGACCCGTTGCCTCTGGCTTCGGGTCCGGACGCCTCGGCTGCCCCGGAGGGGGAGGTGCTCCCAGTCCCCCTCTCGGAGTTGGCGCAGGGACCGTTGAGTATTCCTGGGGTTCCGATCCCTGCGCCCTCCCGCCCCATGAGAGCGGAGGCACCAGTTTTGCCTGGTCTGCCTCCAGCGTCTCAGGACCGGGGTCCGTGCATACCGGCAGGCACTGACGCGGGGCGCTCTGTCTGCTCCTCTCTCTCTCTTGTTCCTAGTGCTAGGCAGCCCACCGGGTTGGGGTTCGGGTCCTCTTCGCGAGGAGACCCAGCCTCTGACTCGGGCTCGGGCGCCGAGTCGATGGATATTGGGGAGGTCGAGGAGCAGGAGGGTGCCTTCCGTTTCACTTCGGCTCTGCGAGAGGTCCGGCAAAGGATTGCCGAGTACCTACCCCAGGCCGCGGTGCCTGTTATCAGCTCGGACTCGGCTGAGTTCCGCTTGCCAGGCGAGGCGTTTGCCCCTAGGCAGCCTACGCAGACGCAGCTCCGCATTCTGCCCTCGTTAGTACAGGACGTGGTGGATCCCCTCTTGTCTGGTTCTCGTCTCCGATTTGACTTGCCGGAGCTTGTCAGGAGATACCAGCTTGGGGAGGATTCCCTGTTCGTGGTACCTATCGTGGACGAGTGTGTTTTTACTCCAGTCGCCTTGGGGGGAGGCTCGGCTTCCTCGCAGCAGCTCGGCTGCTTTCGGCAGGGCGTGTTACTCCACCGCGCCCCTGCGGAGGTTTACGAGGAGGTTTACAGCTTATGCTATGCAGGTCAGGGTGGTGGTCCATGAGGCCTACCTCTCCCTCGATACAGAGGTCGGCCCTGGAGGCGGAGGGGCATGCTGGTGACGTTTCGCCGCATGTCGTGCTGCTCCGTCAGCTATCTGAAGTACAGGCTCACCTCGCGCGCGACTCTTTGCGGTCCGCTGCGTCGACGGTGATGTGCGCAGTCATGGGGATGCGCAAGCTGTGGCTGTCGACGTCTCGGTACCGGCAGCGACACAGCAGACCTTGCTGGCCCTCCCATTCCGTCTGGGAGCGACCCTCTTTTCGGGAGCACAGCAGGTCATTCGGGGAGGCTGCCGCTGCAGCTACCTCCTTCAAGGACTCTAAGGCCTTGTTGGAGCACCCGCGGGTGTCTCGCTCCCGTGCTCCCGTTCCACCTTCCTCCGCCGGGGTGCAGCCTACACCCGAGTCTGCCGGCTGGCTCCGGACGCTTGGTAGGGGTAGGCGGAGGAACAGGTCCGCCAAGGGTAGGGGCAAGGAGCAGTCTCGTCGACTAGCTCCCAGCCTTTTCGCGGGCGCGGGAGGTCTGCCCCGACCTCCCGTTAACCCATCAGGCTGTAGCTCAAGCCGTGTGTCACGCCCAGTCAGCTCCGCTACTCGGGACAACGCACGCGCTCCTACCCCATATCCCAGTGGGAGGCCGCCTCTCTCTATTCCTGCCGGAATGGGAGAAGGCTACACAAAACACTTGGGTGCTGTCCACCGTCAGTGTAGGCCATTTACCACTGTGGAAGCGAGGTCCGCCCGACTTCACCGGCATACGCCGCACTCCGGTGCCGTCATGTCAGGCAAGGGCGGACATATTGCGCGACGAAGTTCAGGCTCTGCTGGACAAGTCCGCAATCGAGCGCATTCCACCGGGAGAGGAACAGGCGGGATTTTACTCCACGTACTTCCTCGTCCCGAAGAAAGACGACGGGTTCCGTCCCATTCTCAACCTCAAGGGGTTGAACCGCATGCTAGAAGTTCCATCCTTCAAGATGGAGACACTGCGCTCGGTGATCTCATCTGTTCAGCCCGGCGATTGGCTCACGTCAATCGACCTAAAGGATCGCGTATCTGCATGTGCCCATACATCCATCGTTCAAGCAGTACCGGTTCTCTTACGGCCGGGATGTTTTACCAATTCAGGGTGCTCCCCTTCGGCATATCGACTGCCCCAAGGGTGTTCACCAAGCTCATGTTAGTCCGGCTACCCTCGGCCGCTTCGCAGAGGGAAGGCGTTGTTACCCTTACCTCGGCGACTGGTTGCTCGGGCTAACACAGCCAGCGAGTCTAGATGCTACTCACACCGTGATAGACATTCTAATTCGACTGGGGTGGATCATCAACCTCAAGAAATCCGACCTGGTACCCACCCAGGACTTGGTTTTTCTTGGGGCGCGATTCCAAACAAACAAGGATCTCGTTTCCTTGTCGCCCGACCGGATCACCAGAGTTCGGGAGATGGTTTCTTCGTTCCTCTCCCAGCCCCAGGCACCAGCACGGACTTGGCTCCGTCTACTGGGCCATATGGCGGCGACGATCTCTGTAGTGTGGCGGGCGCGGTTGAGGATGCGCCCTATACAGCAAGCTTTGGCAAGGCTGTGGGCTCACACGGAGGACCTGGAGCGCAGTCTCACAGTCCCTGGGTGGTTGACACCTCACCTTCAGTGGTGGACCAATGTCGGGAATCTCACCAGGGGGATCCCCTTGGAAATCCCGACGCCAGCTCTCACAGTTCAGACCGATGCGTCCCTCACGGGCTGGGGGGGTGTTCTGGGCAGTCTGTCGGTGTCCGGACTCTGGTTCGAAGCCGAAGCCCACCTTCACATCAACGTGTTGGAACTGAGAGCTGTGCGGTTGGTTTTCGAGCGCTTCAGAGAGCATGTCCGTGGCCAGGTAGTCCGTCTTCAGTTGGACAACCAGACGGCCATGTCGTACATCCTGAAGCAGGGCGGCACGGTGTCCCCGAGCTCCTCCGGAGGCGTGGGACTTTCTCCTCTGGTGCGACCAGTCGCGATTGTCAGGTACTCCCTGTTTATCTCCCGGGCTGGAGAGCGCGGCGAGCAGGCAGCTCTCGCCGGATCCTGGCCCCCACGCAGTGGATGCTCGACAGGCAGATTTTCAGAGTAGTCTCCCAGTTGTACGGGTCGCTCCAGGTGGATCTGTTTGCGTCCGGGCGGGACGAATCAGACACCCGTGTTCTGCTCGAATACCGGATCCCAGGGGCGTTGGCTGCCGGCGCCTTCCTGCTGGATTGGACGAGCAAAGTGCTCTGGAAGCCCCCGGCCGTTACCACTCATTCCCGTGTCCTTTCACAGCTGTCCACCCAGCCAGCTCGGCTGCTTGTGCTACTGGCACCGCTTTTGCCTTCACAGAGCTGGTTTCCGGTAATTCTCAGGTTTCTGGCTCAGCCTCCTGTTCTATTACCTTTACGACCGGACATTCTCACTCAGAGCGGGCCCACCCCAATCCAAGGATTCAATGGGTGGCTTGGCCTCTGTCAGGTCTAGCCTCGAGGCACGCGGAATTCCTGCAGCAGTTGCAGACACAATTCTGGCTTCGAGGCGGATTCGACAAGCGTTCAGTATGAGGATAGGTGGTCCGCGCTATGCGCTGGTGTTCAGATAGGGGATTGCAGATCCCTTTCTGGCGGATTTAGTCCGAGTATTGGAGTTTTGCAAGCTCGTTTGGAAGAAGGCCTGGCGGCCGACCATTATCTGTGGCTACTCCACCGCTATTTCCACTTTTCACACCCCTGTCGATGGTGCTCTTCTGGGGCAGCACCCTCTCGCACAGCGCTTTCGGCTGGCTGAGCGGGTTCGACCTGCTCTCAGGCGAACCAGTCCACCTTGGGATTTGTCAATTGTGCTCGATTGGCTGTCGGTCCAACTTTCTCACACCTATCGGCTATTTCCATTCAGTTGTTAACTTGGAAGGCTGTTTTTCTGGTGGCGGTAACATCTGGGCGTAGGGTCGGTGATTTACATGCTATGTCGTCCGACCGGCGCTGACTGTGTTTCACACTGATCGTGTCAGTATTAAGCCTCGGATACTTACTTACCCCGAAGGTCGATCACGCTTTCCATGTGACAGCTCCTATCGAACTTCCCACTCTTACCCAGCCTTCCACATGGGGACCTCTCCTCTGAGCTCTCACCCGTTGGATGTCCGTGAAGACACTCAAAGTCTATATCAAGCGAGCGCAGGGAATCCGTCACGGGTACCCAGCTGTTCTGTTGTTACGGTGGCGAAGGAAGGCTGGACTTTGCCGAAGCAAGCTCGCTTTGTCTGGCTCGCTTCGTTTGTATTTGTGCGCTTATCAGGCTAAGGGCAAGCCTCCCCTGAGGGGTTGAAGGCTCACTCGGTCAGGGCAGTAGCGCATCAAAGCTTTTGCATCGGCACTCCCCATTGAAGAGATCTGCTCTGCCGCTATTTGGAGCCGGCCAAGCACGTTTATACGGCACTATCAGCTCGATACACATTCCCGTAATCGTGCGAGCTTTGGCCGTTCTGTTCTCTCCAGTGGACAGTGTCCTGCCACCCTGACCGAGTGAGTCTTGGTTAATTGGTTTGTTTATTGACACTGCTGTACAATAATGTGTATTATTGACATCTCCGCTACTAGGAGCTAACTACCCCCTTTCGATTCTCTCAGGAGTAATTAGGTCGATTGTGAGCGGTTTTGACATTTCCCCCCTACGGTGCTCACTAATCGACACGTGGTGGGTGGGGCTTTGTTTTCATTCGCACCATGTGCGTTTTCACTATGCTAACATATGGAGGTCGTCTTCGAGTACAATTCCTCCCTGTCAGTTCCCCTCCCATAATGCCTCTCGCGGAAGCGCAACTGGGACAAGTGACAGGTGAGCGTTATGGCGTCTGTTCAATTTTTTTCCATGTAACGATCGCTATTTGTATGTGCTTGGACAGAATTCCCTCCTCCCTGGCCTCCGGTCTTTGGGAGTCTGTGTTTATGCATAATATGTACCCCAAGGACGATCTCTATGAAGAAGAATTAACCAAACCTGAAGAGGTTTTAAATTCTTGAAGAGAGTCGATCCTTGGGGTAAACTCCTCCAGCCTCCCGCAATTCTGTTCACTGATTTATTCAGCAGAAGGAATGATGATCACGGGCCTAGGAGCTTACCCAGTTGAGATTAGCATGCTAGCGGGAGGTAACTCCGTGAGGTGGGAACGATATAATAAATAAAAAGTTTATTTATTGTACAATCTTTTTATTCAAAAAACATTGATACAACTGACATTTTCAGCTTGGAAAATGCATAATATGTACCCCAAGGACGACTCTCTTCGAAGAATTTAAAACCTCTTCAGGTTTGGTTAATTTTTACAATGCACAGGTCAGTATTACAGACTGATTATTTTTACAATGCACAGGACACTATTACAGACTGATGTCTTTGTCTTTACAATGCACAGGTCACTATTACAGACTGATGTCTTTGTCTTTACAATGCACAGGTCACTATTACAGACTGATGTCTTTACAATGCACAGGTCACTATTACAGACTGATTATTTTTACAATGCACAGGACACTATTACAGACTGATGTCTTTGTCTTTACAATGCACAGGTCACTATTACAGACTGTTAACTTTACAATGCACAGGTCACACTTACAGACTGATGTCTTTGTCTTTACAATGCACAGGTCACTATTACAGACTGATGTCTTTGTCTTTACAATGCACAGGTCACTATTACAGACTGATGTCTTTGTCTTTACAATGCACAGGTCACTATTACAGACTGATGTCTTTGTCTTTACAATGCACAGGTCACTATTACAGACTGATGTCTTTACAATGCACAGGTCACTATTACAGACTGATTATTTTTACAATGCACAGGACACTATTACAGACTGATGTCTTTGTCTTTACAATGCACAGGTCACTATTACAGACTGTTAACTTTACAATGCACAGGTCACTATTACAGACTGATGTCTTTGCCTTTACAATGCACAGGTCACTATTACAGACTGATGTCTTTGTCTTTACAATGCACAGGTCACTATTACAGACTGTTAACTTTACAATGCACAGGACACTATAACAGACTGATGTCTTTGTCTTTACAATGCACAGGTCACTATTACAGACTGATTATTTTTACAATGCACAGGTCACTATTACAAACTGTTAACTTTACAATGCACAGGTCACTATTACAAACTGTTAACTTTACAATGCACAGGTCACTATTACAAACTGATGACTTTACAATGCACAGGTCACTATTACAGACTGATGTCTTTACAATGCACAGGTCACTATTACAGACTGTTAACTTTACAATGCACAGGTCACTATTACAGACTGTTAACTTTACAATGCACAGGTCACTATTACAAACTGATGACTTTACAATGCACATGTCACTATTACAAACTGATGTCTTTACAATGCACAGGTCACTTTTACAGACTGTTAACTTTACAATGCACAGGTCACTATTACAAACTGATGACTTTACAATGCACAGGTCACTATTACAGACTGATGTCTTTACAATGCACAGGTCACTATTACAAACTGTTAACTTTACAATGCACAGGTCACTATTACAGACTGATGTCTTTACAATGCACAGGTCACTATTACAAACTGATGACTTTACAATGCACAGGTCACTATTACAAACTGATGACTTTACAATGCACAGGTCACTATTACAGACTGATGTCTTTACAATGCACAGGTCACTATTACAAACTGTTAACTTTACAATGCACAGGTCACTATTACAGACTGATGTCTTTACAATGCACAGGTCACTATTACAAACTGATGACTTTACAATGCACAGGTCACTATTACAGACTGTTGACTTTACAATGCACAGGTCACTATTACAGACTGATGTCTTTACAATGCACATGTCACTATTACAGACTGATGTTGTTATTCTGAATTCATTTGTGAACTTGTTTATCTATTAACCACTTCGGTAGTTGTTCAATATAACAAGTGAAAGCTTTGATTTTCACAATTGTTTGCTGATGAAGTTTATCACTGCAACCTATCAAGCAACAGAAGTATCCCTGTAACTTGAGTCTTTACCAGGAGATATAACCCATTGGCTCAACAACCTTTCCTCTGTTTTTCCTAGTAGCACAATAAACTTGATAAATATTGAGTTTCAATACATGCAGTCATATATGAGGACCAAATTACAGTATGTCTAGAAACAGATAAAATTGTAACATTTCAAATTACAAAATAAGTGTATTTTGCACAGTTTATTTCTAATTACTGTTAATTCAAGACTGATTACTTGTTGTCTCCACAGGTTCATACATGCAGATCTACAAACGGAAACAGCAGGCCAACTCCACCAGAATGAACAACTACGCTCTCTCTGATCAAGGAGAGACAACTATTAAAGGTAAGTTGGGTTCACATTAGTAGCTAACTGTATTATGTTTCTTGTACACCTGCATGACCCATCTAGCGGCATTCTGCCATGCCCTTCGTGAGTGAGCACCAAGTCTTTGTGTGTTATTGGGTTGATATTCTAGAAGATAGTGCACTGAGGAATAGCGGTTCAGTTGAAGAGCCTATTGTGTGAAGGATTGTTCTGTGACAGGTTTGTTGCTTGTCAACTGACATGTCATCCTTTGATTGGAGGGATCTGGTAGAAAATCTGATACCTGTTGTGTTTAATTGGGAGCACACCAGTTTGTATGGGGTCGCTTGTTATTGTGGGGTGGGTGTCCTGAATGGGTTCTGTTGAATATTTAAGTGTACTTGATGTTGTGTGATGTTAGAAGTTTTGTGTGTTTGTTGATGTGTATAATTGTATACTATACTGTTGTCAGTTGATAAGAACTTAAGGAAATGTGGTTTATTTGCTTGAAATGATTATCATGTGCTTTTGTCCAAGTGACCAATGAATGTTGCACTGCATGACTGTTGTACAGAGCAGTTAAAAACAATGTGTTTATTGGAGCTGGTTACCACCTTCATGGGAATTGTCAGAATTCAAACTTAAGTATGTAACTGTTACTGGGATTGGGATAGAGAACTTTGACAATGGGCCATTTTCAGGATTATTAGCCATTTCCTGAATTTAGAATGGGCCACTGCCCTTGTATCAATAGTAAACTTCAAAATTGTAATGGGTTTTTATTGTAATGTGCAAATTGGCCCATGGCCCCAGCCTTTCCCAATCCTTGCTGTCATGGACTTGACTTTCAGTCCATTATATATATTTCAAAATTCAGTATTTCCTAAACAGGAGGTATTATGTCTGCTTTCAGGATTTCAATTTTAATTCCAATTACACTATGTAGGTGAACATGTCCGAAGAAACTAGGCATTTTAAATATATGCAGTCAATAAAATATTTTTCAGATACTTTCATATCCAATGGTAAATAGGGGAATCAGTGTGAGCTGGCTGTCTCCAGGGGAGATAACTCTTCCTTGCTTTGTGTGCTGTTCACTGCCACTGATGCAGGGGAGCATTCCACATCAAAGCTGTATATATATATATATATTTGAGTTCAGTTTTGACAGTAAAAAAAAGTTGATTATTTTTCAGTGTTTGTTCCTTAACCCATTCAACACCGCAGGCCGAATAATCGGCCACAACGTTATGAGTCCCCAGACACCGGAGGCCGATTAATCGGCCAGGCAGTAGTCACGTCAAAATGAGACATAATTTTAGGAACCTACCTGACTTTTGATTCATATATCAAATCTGTCACATTTCACAATGTCTGAAAACACTTATTAAATTTCAATTTATCATATATTATCAACAGAATAAAAATTATAAACTATTTTTCGCAATGTTATTGAAAACAACGATTCTCGGACACATGCTTCGGCAGCGGGTCCACAATAACATTGTCAAAGAGCAAAGTAACGATGTTTTGAGGAAATTATTAAATAAATTGAATAAACTAATGAATAAAATCAACAACAGCATTCATAAAAGTTGTCAAACGTACATATAAAATTACTATTTCCATCTTTTGTGCGATCATGTAATGCAAGTCAAGTCACTGACAAGTGACATCTCGCTCTCATGGCCACTTAATCTTCACTGGACACGCGATGTTTAATGCGAAAATACATACATGAAGCATTTTGTCACAGGTCATAACCTAGCACGATCGTCCAATAAGTTCCATAATTTACGATAGGTAGCGATTTCTTGCTTTAATATGTTCAGAATAGCATTATTTTACCCAAAACTTTTGTCCAAATCTAAAAGTTTTCTTTCACGAGGAAGGTATCCATTGCCGTAATATGATTGGCTGCCTTAGGTCACGCGTATGTCTGATTTTGACCAATCACGCACCCCTTATAGCAGACTGTGGCTAAAAAAGCGCCATTAGAAACCAATCTTTATCCAATAAAATCGCTTCTTACAACTGTGAAAATACTCTTGGCAAGGGTTACAGTGATATTGTTGATGTTCAGAGCTTTCGACGATGCCCGACATCAAAGCGATTTGCAGCGCATGTTATTCATCTGAAGCTTCAAAGCGGAGGTATTTTCAGTTGTTATGTCATTTTACCGGTACGGAAGCCACAGATATCAGGAAATAGGCTGACCATACATATTGTTTAAGAAATCTTTTTATAATAATTTTCTGATTACGTAAAAATGAAAATATAACAGAAAAAAGGCGCAGTGCGTTATGAAATGTCACAAATGGAAAAAAAAATCGCCATAGTTTTGCTCCTTTCATGGTTTATCTGGACGCTATAAATGTAAGCTTGCATTTTCATTCAAATATAAATTTATTTAAGTTGTAGTTGTATTATTTAAATAATATTATAAAAATAAACTTCATATTTATCAACAGTAGGATTAGATCTTTTAAATGGTTTGTGGGATGTAGTAGCAATAACGTTTTACAAGCTTATAATTTCCTTCATAAACATAGGCTTCATCTATGACCTCAGAGTCTCTGGGAACTCGGTGTCATGGCAGTAAATGCCTCTGGTTGACTGGTGTTGAAAGAGTTAATCACCAGGAAAAACCCTATAATTTTCACTTATTTGAAATCAATAATTACTTAACTGGTTACAGATTGAAATAGCTACAGCTGAAAATTAGTTTGGACCAGCGGGTCACAGTGGTTTCAACACCAGTTTTATACATAATATCAGCAAATATGTAATATTTCAGAGTATATTGTGTGATAGAATTGTGAAAGTTAGTCATATAGATCCAGAAACACACATAAGCAATACAGCCGATCCAGGTCTGTAATAGTTTGCAAGTCTAGATTACTGCTGTTTCAGATGAAGAAACTCTCTGGTTTCCTTTTTTAAATATCCATTTAGATAAATCAACAGCCGTTTTTCCTGTAAAGAATTTTGTTTTAGAGACTAGATGTTATCTAAGAATTTGTTGTGTCATCACAGGTTATAGACAAAAATTGTGGTGTGTACAGGTACTGCTTTGCAAAAATAGCCCCAAAACAAGTAGATGCCAGTAAAATAACATGTTGATACATAAGACAGTATAATGTGATGCTATAGCATAGTGTGGATGAATGTATGGTAGTCTCAGCCAGCGTTCATGATTGTGTGGTAGTGTGGATGAATGTATGGTAGTCTCAGCCGATTGTGTGGTAGTCTCAGATGTAAAGTTCTTTGAGATATAAGCAACAGTGCTTCTAGTTTGAAGTTCAAAGTTATAAGAGAACAAGTACAAACTCCCCAAATTGTGAGCACCTCGACTTAAACATCTTTACATTATCATACATAAAACTCCACTTCAGTAATTTAAAAACCTCCAAACCCAGGGAACTCACAATAGATGCACATCATGCATACAAAATCCCAGATCACTACTAATATAACCATTTGACATTATCATATGATGAATCGTGGATCTGTTGTCATATTTGTTTGAATGCTTCTGGTTGAAATCAATGAATCAATGGTCCGTGTGAGAGTGATGACTTGTTTATGGAGTCAGTTATGGTCAGTTTGCCGTGCGTCACAAACATATCATTGCGATGCCCATATAAACTGGAACTCAGTGCTCTACATGCATAAATAATTTGTATTGGGAGATTAGCGTCAGGTTGTTAGGGGCTTCATCTGCTGGATGTCTTTGTGAGTGTATAATGGCTACATTCGTCTCCACATACTGTGGGTTGCTGATAACTGGATGCTTGCTTGCAGTATTGTAATAAACAGCTTGTTTGTGGCAATCATAGTTAGTCAGAAAATCTTCTCCTTATTCTTATGGGTGATTTGCACATGGAATATAATGAGTGCAGCTTTAGGAAGCCAAGTTAGTTATTTGGTACATGTGCAGATCTCCATGTTTGGGTATTCATGTATGTCTGCATGAAACAATCCCATCCTATCACTGTGACAACTGTGATGCTTGTCGTACTGTGGTTACATCTGCTGCTGGAGACCACCTGTTTCGCTGAAGGGGCGGTGGGGTAGCCTAGTGGTTAAAGTGTTCGCTCTTCACGCCGAAGACCCGGGTTCGATTCCCCACATGGGCACAATGTGTGAAGCCCATTTCATGGTCCTGATTACTATATCTAAACACCTCGGGCTTCAGTGGCACATGCATCACCTTTCTTCCAGCAATGAACATGAACCCCTTGACAAATTTTAAAAAAAAAATGTTTGAAGTTATAATACTCCAGACTAACGTTGTCTTTGAGGAAGCAGTCTACCAAGATCTAGGCTTTGGATGATGGCCCTGGGGTGGGAAATTTGCAAATATTATGTTGTTGTCAGGGATTGGCTTGTGGTTGGTTACTTTTGATCATCTCAACTTTTTGGATAATAAACCCTAACAACAAGAAACAGATTAAACTTTGGAGGCATCCCTTGTGATTCCTTTCTTCAACTTCAGGCATGCTCATTAAAAGGAAAAATCATTATGTTCTTTGACAGTTTTACTAAAAAAATATTTATGCATTAGCCTGTCAGCCTCGCACATGTTTACCGTCGTGTTGAATTGTAGAAATATCAATGAACTCTGTTTGCTGCTCGAGGAAAGTCACTGGGTGCATTCCAGTCTATTGATGCCATTGAAAGTTTGGATGATTTCCATGGCAAATGACTGAAATTTTGTCGACAAGGTCATGGATCAATTGAACTGCTTTACAGTGTAACCGGCCAGTTGAATAAGGCTGCAGCAAGATATCTCTTTCTGTCAATATATGGCTAATTCTTTTCAGGGAAGTTGAAGAGGTTGGCAAGAGAAATCAACATGAAATTTTCACGAGCCACAGAGGCTTGTCTGAAACATTTGGCAGCATAGATATTCGTCAGCTATCTCAGTAGTGTTCTGTAGTGGAGAGCTGGTACAGCGTGTGTTCTGGTCTTAGCTTGTGAATTATGTTAAACACATACTGTCTCTTCTGGATTACTAACTGAATTACTAGGTGTCAAAAGAGTTTTCCAGATATTATTGGGACACAGAATAAGAAGTTATTCATGTCTGTCACTGCATTGTAACTATCTTTGTAATAGGTCCTGCTTGTAGCTTTGGTTCTTGTCTATCACATTTCTGGTGTTCCCCGTCGTGATGTTTGGAATATTGCTAAAATAAAAATAAACTCAGTCAGTCTTGTCTATCAAATCCTCAGACTGGAAAAGAAGTGTTGCCTGACAATGGTGGCTCGTAAATACCAGGAATTTTTAATTTACATGCCTGGAATAAGTTTCAAAGTTGTATTAAGCAATGCTCATACTCCGAATCACGATAAAATTATAAATATGTGGTAAAACTTGGGAAATGTTCAGCATATGATAGTTCTGAATGTATTCATTTGAAAACATTTTGTGATTCTCTTATATTATTGACAAAAACTCACTTTTGAAAAAGAATAATTGTTTGTTTCAACTTAAGTCATACAAATAAATGTGAAGGTGTCCAAGTTATGTGTTATAAGAAAGGTTTGGTGAATTGTTGTTAATCATATTTTATATCATTTTATCAGGTGATGACAGCAAGATTACAGATACAACAATGTTTTATGTAACATCATATGGAGACTGCCAGTCTTTGGCACATTGTGGAGATCAGTCCTCATTCTAAGAATTGTTGTAGCACTTTGATTGATAGTGTAGAGCTAGACATGTCAGTCTTGGGTATGATACAATATCTGTCTCTTCTGCACTTCAGCAGATATTAAGATTAACTTTTTGACAGTTATTAACTGTGTTACAACAAATCCTATATATTTCCATTGTACTTCTGTTTTTGCTATTTGTTTTGTTGTTTCTTAAATATTCTAGTTCTATTTGAGCCAGGTGAGCTAAATATGTATTGTTCATGACTTGTTTCTCTTTGATGTGTTTTATATTCCCTGCTGAAACTGATCATAAGAATTAATGATTGATATGTTTATCTTCATAATAGGTAACATTGTCCTTCATATAGATCAGGAAAGTTATCAACTGTAGGAAATGTTTAGTAACAGGTCACCATAACAAAGAATACAACACACTGTATCTAAGATGTACCCGACGTTCAGTCCAATATTGACCTGCCAGCGCTTTGGTAAGAAGTCCCAGGTATTTACTTTGCGTGCTGTCCTAGTAGTCGGATGCGTCTCTGCCCGAGTCTGACGGTCCGTGAGCCCCACCTCCTTACAGCACACGCTCAAGCGGCCAGAAGAAAAGCCTGTCTCGTGGTAGTGTTCAACTATTGATCCTCCCTGACGGATCATGTGACCTCATTTCAAGGTGGCAGTACCAATCAATATGTAGATATAAATGTTAAGAGTTGCATGCCCACTGGTCCATCAGACATTCATTAAAGAGTCAGGGCAGTTGGATTACTTTCGTGGGGTCTCTGATCATCGTCATGGTCTGATGATTCTGCTGCTGCAGCATCTGATGGGAGTTGGGTGTTCCAATTCGGCAGGTAGTACCCCTTAACTTTCAGGACTTTACTGTTGCTTATCAAGCCATCATTGCATGGTATTGGGTGATTTATGTCGCTTTGGGATGAGAGGTTCTCGTGTTGACTGCAGGACTTTGGAATTTCCTCGTTGTCAGGTCAGGTGTTTTACCACCTGTACTGTGTGTGTTTCATATAGGATTAGTCGGCACTTCAGTCTTGTTTTATGTAGGATGAATGGTATCAGTTTTAGGTTTAGAGTATTGGGATATTGAGTTTGATTTAATTTGAAGTAAGTTTGAAATGTTGTATTTTTTCATCTGAAGTACATTTTGTAATGGACTGTTTGCATGAAGGCTTCAGAATATGTGACTTCTGTCCACCTCAAGTAAGTGTTTAGATCATATGGATCTGTAGCAGATGGTGCTGTTCCTGTAGCAGATTTTAAGCAAACCGTTTGTAATTATCAAGATTTATATTTAAACTAGTCATGAAATGTTTTCCTTGAAACATGCTTGAAACAAAATGCTTTCAGTATGTTTTATGTTTGAAATAAGACACCTAAATCAAGCTCTTAAAATATCAATGTTCAGAGATATGTTGGTCCGTTCAATCAAGCTGTTCCTCACTGTTTGCCGGATTTGTGCTTTAGTAGGCCAGATTTACCAACTTACTGTGATGAAGTTTGAAATATTTCAGGTAGATGGTATACTGCTATGTGACTCATCCCAGAAACACAACAACCCAACTGTTATTTGGAATAGCATTTATTATTCACATTAACTGTCTGAGATACGTTGAGGTCATTCATAATTTATTCACTATCCATGACATGATGTTATTCATTACTGAAAAATATGCTTACGATATTTCAGGCAGTTATGAAATCCACAAGCGTCATAAATCAGCTGGCTACTAACAATAAAACTCTCCGATAGTTAGAAAGCACTTGTATTGACTTTGTTTGTTTCCCACAAGATGAAGATGTATTTTTGGAATCCAAATCCTCAAGTTTTTGTCATCTTTACAACAAGGCTGTTTGTTATGACGACCATTATTTTGTTCATGAAACAAACCCAAGAAGCAGCCAAGTGAGACGTTCTTGTCATAGGGAACAAAACAAAAGTAACCAGCCATGTTGCACACAATACAGCTATTTTATGTATGGGTTTAGTAGGAAGAAGGTTTACATTAGGACTCAAGTTTCAGAATTACCAAACCAAGTATGTGTTTTACATGCTGGCTTGCTTTATGGCTGAAAATTGACGCGTTATAAGCGAATGTAATAGAACAGTGACATGGAATAAGCATTGTCAACATTGTGTTAGATTCTTATTGAATATTTCATGGATGGAACTCCCCACCTGTGAAACTGTCACTGGAATGATGTGTATTTCCTTTTTGAAGCCATCTTTAGTTTATAGGAAAATAAATGGAATTAGGAAGGTTTATATGAAATCTAACATTAAAAGGATTTAGGATTGTCAGGTTGTTGAATGTGAAAGATATCTGCCTGAACATTCACATGGATACATTTGTTTGAGTATTAATATCACAGTGATGGTTGACAGTTGCTTTACAGTTGTATTGCTTGATAAATCAAACATGGGGTTAGCAGCATAAATTGGAAATATCGAAATAGTAGTTGATTTATAAGTTTGTCAGTAGTAACAGGTTTGCTGAGAGTAAATTTCATTTTTTAGTTCGATATGATAAGTACTGTTTGGTCTCTGATAAGGTGATCAGAGTGACACCTGACACAAGTAACACTCAGCAGCGTCTAGAAGTGGGGTGTCTCCACATCCTAATATGTCGCCATTATACTTCCGTGGACAAGTATACTGTCAGGGTGTTAAGGTGCTGCTATTCACAGTGGTTTTGTTTGTAATACTGATCATAAACCAGGGTGAAATTCAGTGGCAGATCGTTGTATTGCTATGCTGTACTTAGCCTGATATGAAGGCCTGTAAGTAAGTTGATATACTTTCAGAAGGCAGGGGTTGTGAGGGAGAAACCTAGAAATAGGACCATTGGTATTCCAGGGCAGCAATCTCCAGGCAGCTTGTTCAAGTTGTCTCAAATGCAACTTGGTGACAGCGGCTGTTGAATATGAATCACTTTGCTGTCTACTTAGCAGCTATTACATAGTCGTGCAGTTTAAAGCAGTAGTTGCTTATTTGAAAGGGTGTGAATTGTAATTGGTGCTGTCTTGTCTCCTACTGTTTGGATTGTTTCAAACACTGGCTGCCATAGAGTTTACACTTGTATGTCTACTGTGGGGAAATGATGGATGTCTGACAACAGTGCAGAAACTTCGGAAGCTTTGTTAGGTTAGCACTGGGTGGTCCTAAGTTGATGGGTAGAGGCTATTTGGTTGTGGCAAACTGACTTGATGATTTAAAAGTGTCAATAAAACCTATTATTTCTGAGAAACTGCATTTGAGATGAAAGAGGAAAATCATTGTGTCCCCCCCAATTTATTGTCACCCAATTGTGCATTGCTTGGTGGCCTTTGCAGATATCAAAGAAAATGGCTTCCATCGTCCTGACCACAAATCTACACCGCGGCCTTTCCTAGACCCAATCTCAGGTAAGTAATGTACTCCCAAGCTGCCATATACCCAGCCACACTTGCCAGGAGTACTTGCCATCATTGCTAGTCTACTAACAGCCTGAACCACAGCACTGTTTGAGTTCCTTGTCTGACACATTGATTAACACATGAATGTGTAACCAGACCATTGCCTAGTGGGGTGTTGGGTCAACATGGGAAAGAGACCATTAGAAAATTGCTTGAGGTGTGGCCATCAGCTGCTTGTCTGTGCTATATGTGTGAAATGTCTATTGTATTTGCTTCTTTCTCTCATTTGCTATCAATTGCTATCAATGTGTATATTTGCTGTTAATTTGAACGTGTATGTGTAAGTTAATTAAACATCTGTATGGTATTTTTCAGGTTTTCTTTTGCTTGTACATCAGAAAAGCATACATGATTTTCATAAACGAATAGTGACTTGTCTGCAGCGAATATTGAACTCAGCATGTGACAGTCAGAAATGTTGGACCATGTGGTGATGATGTCGCACATTCAGCCTAGTATTTATCTTGGTCCTGTGGTGATGTTGATCTAACAATGGTGCTTCTGTCATAAATTGTCAGGGTTATTTTCGTAGCTTGTTACCAACTTTATGACATGCATTGCCCATTTACCTTGCAAGGACTATTGTCTGAAGTTGTTGTGTTTTCCTGTGAATTTGCTTGATAAACTGCCTTAAGTAGAATCTGCTTCGATCTGTGGGTGAATTGATCGAAGCTCACAAAAAATGAGAAAACTGCCTGTGGTGTTTTCATGTGTAGGACTAGAAAACATGAAAAGCTAAATTTTCCTAAATGGACGTTCCTGTAAGTTTCCTGTAAGCGCTCTAGCTGATCGACATCAAAACTGAATTGAATTCTGAGGATGTTTTCTTGTGTCTAACAAAGTGAAACCATGCAGATGCTAGTGATGTTAGTCTGTCCTAGATAGAAGAGTTTTCAATGTCTATAATATTCATCCTGGCCCTATTCCACAGAGCGATCAAAGATCATTGTGAGGCTGTAAAAAAAAAAGAGAATTATGATATGTTCAAACTGAGGATGAAGCCCTGTACTCTTTATGCATAACATTCTGCCATAATGCATGATGGGAATGGTGTCATTGTGTGTATATTTTCAAGTGTAGAATGTTGTGGACCGTGTTTGGTGCTGGAGAAGCTGGTTGCTATGTTTGTATTGTCAGGCTATCAGTCTTAGTTACAGAAACAACAGTACAATTTGTGATGCTCTGTAGGGTTTGTTTGTAGTTGATCAAGTGTGAGAAACATAATTATTAATTTTCACCACTTGACAATGAATCTTGGGGTTTGCATTTGTTTGAATTTTGCCTTGGCAACATACTTACTGGACTCAGGTCAAGCATCATTTCGCCACCAAGGAATCAACTAGTAGACAAAGTAAGCTATTCACTGAGTACAGCCATTGTTTTCTTACCGGCACGATGCAGTGCTTTTTGGAGTCGGAAGTGAAGCGTTCTGTCAACACAGCTAAAGCGTTAAGACTGAATCGACATAATCTATAGTTTGAATCCCACATCTGAGAGTGGTCATGTTAGAAAGATAAGCTATTACCAGGTGAAGGAAACATAACTGTGGTCAGTCAGAAGTCCACATTCAAGCAATGGTCCCTGTGATATTGAACATGATTGTTACTATTTGATTGATCTCTTTGGCAGCTGAATGAGGAAACAGGCCTCCTTACTTTTAGTGTGTGATAATCTGTAAGCTGTAGGAGCTCGCCTCCACCAGATCAGAGGTAACTACTAATGGGACTGTACCAGAGCTGTAACGGACAATATATTTGAATAGGGCTGTCAGGAAGTGTTCTTCGGTAAATGTCGATTCCATCCCATCGCCATGGGACTGGGTTGATGTTGATAGTGGTAGCGACTGATTTGATTGATTACTATGAACACAGATAAGCGTTAATAGTAGAGACGTCCACTTTCATTGTTTAGACATACCCATGCGTTTGATGGCCCTGATGTAACTATTATCCTCTATTGATTTTTCTGTATTTCACTGAACAACTAGGCCGTCAATAATTTCCCAGCTTTTGATGTGGGTGTGTTTGTCAATAGGGTGTTGCAGGTCATGTAAATTTCATGTTGTTTTTTTTCAGATGTTTTTATAACAGATAATTGCTTGGCTTCCATTTCAAGTTGTTTCTATCTGTATTGAATTTCTCCCTAGAATATTTTCTTTGGCAAGCCTCATTCATTACAAATATTTTGATGTAGTTACCATGGCTGTGACTACGCTATGCAAAGATATGATAGAGGTGTTTGTCAGCTGTAGCTATAGACATGACAATCTATAACAGTATCATGTTGTATATGATGAGCATTTTTCAGCATCTGCAATTGAGTAATGTAGACATCTATACCATCTTGATTTCCTCCTGACGGAATGTAATCTGCTGTGTCTGTATGTGCACGCTATAGTCACAGTTTAAACGGGAAACATTTTGTGTACTGTGGTGGAGGTGGAAAAAACACTTGTCTGTTAGTACATACCATAATTTCTTCTGGAAAATGCTCACTTTTATTTAAAAACTGAAGCAGTGTGGTAAGGGGTGTGATGACAAGTTGGAAGTTGGTTTACAAGAGCAAAATGTATTACCACTAGCATGTAACATCAAACATAACATCAAAAATAGTATGTCAACAAATGAGTACTGAAGTAACAATTTAGTCCTGCCTGTTTGTAAAGGGTGTTAATTGTATGACTAATGTTGTGTTTTTGATCTATTGTAATAATTTTTACAAAATTTCCTTCAATATAGCTTATATCAACTATGGCCAAATTATGTTAGTTGCCAGAAAATGGATACATATACTTGAACTGCAGGAGTTAAGGATGTTATTGGAAGCCAACAGTGTTCGCTTGTAAACCTTAAGGTAGAGGCAAAATATCCCAAAATGGTGAAAGTACGTGAGGGCTCTTACTGGTGTCCCCTGCCTTGATCTTATAGAATGTTGCTGAATGAGGCTTCAAACCCAACTCACTCACTCACTATACATTAGTGTGTGGTTTGTTGGTGTAGACATCTGCTCACCTTGATGAAGATCTGTCTGGCCCTTGTGGTTACCATGGGTGAAAGCATGTATCACATGTTGCTGCAACAATCTAGTTCTAGTGCTTTTACTACGAGTTTTAGTAAGGATGGCTAATGATCGTGTATTGGGTTCTCCTGGAGATTATGCTGACTTTCTGGACTTTTGAATCCCTTATGTGTGAAACGATTGTTTGTCTCCCATGGTTGGAATAATGCCTCTAGGCAGGAGACCTATTGTAATCGTTCGGATTATTATTATTATTATTTATTATTCCGCTGATTTTTGTAACAAACATAACTCCTAAACCAATGCTCCGAATCATTTACAAAAAATCACACAGATGCGCACCGAGGTGTAGATATTCCCCTTAAAAATCTCTAGGCCCTTGGCCCAATAGCAAAGGGGCGATAATTCAAACTTAATTCCAAAATTTCAACGTTTGACAGCAAATATCTCAAGAACTAATTGTTCCGACACTTCCAAATTTCTTGCCAGTATGGTAGATGATGTCCTGGTGATTCCAGAACACTAATTGTTTTGAACGTAGACCCAAGAACAACTGAGATACAGCCTTTTAAAGAAGGAACTATTTCTTCTCCGGAACTTCTTAAAAGGTACATGACCCCCCGTGACCCCGGCTGTATTTGGAAGATCCGCTCGCCTGTCAAAACATGTGTTCTGGCTCCGTTTTGGACGATGATATCTAGCCCTCAGATACAATAGATAGAAAGTAAAGCCAAGGAGACCTCATCGTTGCCCGCAACTATATTTTAGTTTTGACTTTATTCCAAACAAAGCCATTACTATGATCTTCACTCTCAGAAAGGTTGTTCCAATGATTTCACTGCCACAAGACAATGCTTGGAGTTGTCAACAGATAGTCAACTAGTTGCCCTGATCAGACCTGTTGTGATGTTTCCATAACATACCAGGCTAAACTCCTATAAAACCATTACTCCTAGTACAGTGGCTTATCAACTGGTTAACTGATCACTAGGCGGCAGGCATTGGTTGTTTTTTTTTAGTTAGCATGATATCTTTAACTGTCCCAGCCAGACTCAGTGTCACCTGGCTATATTGTAGAAGTGATTTGGAGTTGCTTAGCTAGAGATACAACAGGGATCTCACATAGAGTGGAGCTAATCCTGGCATGTTACACTTGCTTTACCTGCCTTGTTAGTGTATGCAGCATCTAGTCAAAGTCTGTCCGAAGCATTTAGAATAGATTTTGATAACTTGCGCTGATTAATTGCAAGGTGGCTAGGTATTACAAGTGTTGGTGGAATAACAATTAAGGTTGTTTAGTTGGAGATTGAATGTTCATAGATTCAGATAAGATTATAGTTGGTGATCTCTTGGTTTATGGGTCTCTTTGTGATCAATCCGTCTTGTTATGTGGAAATAAGATAAACAAGAGATATTTCAGATTGTTGGGTAATCTGACTGAGAGCTGTCAATACCATGTGGCCATGACAGCCGGTCAAGTACTGAACAGGTCCTTATAACATGCCCCAGTGGGGTATCAGTGTTAAACTGTAGCAGGATTTCTCTCTGGAATGTACCTATGGTAATTTGTAAGCAATGTCTCGTCAAGTGTGTCTCATTTTGTCCTGTAGTTAGAAATATTGCTCTTGTATTTCTGTAAATACGACAGAAGATTGTTTGTTGTTTAACTTCACTCTCAGCAATATGACAGGTGTATTTTGTGTGAATCTTTGGTATTGCATATTTATACTGTACCCATGCTTTGTATGCATGTGTGTGTGACAGTTATATCTTGTTAAAAAAAACCTGAATCCTTTCTTACGTCTTTTCCTCAAAACACTGCAGTGATTTCCCTGGCTCCTTGTCCCCACTTGTAACAGGGATTCAGCAATTAAATATTAAATAAAAAAAAAAATATTACAGCTATATGGCAACAGTCTATAAATAATAGT